AGGGGTAAATTTGGAAGACATCAGCAAATAGGTGGCAGCTGAAGGCATGCCATCCAGGACAAATGTAGTGTAAGAAGAGAAAAGATTAATAAAAAAAAAAAGAGAGAGAAAAGATTGAGGACAAAACTCCAGGGAACACCAACTCTTTTTTTTTTTTAATTTTTTTTTTTTTAAAGATTTTATTTATTTGACACAGAGAGAGAGAGATAGAGAGCACAAGCAGGGGGAGCGGAAGGCAGAGGGAGAGGGAGAAACAGGCTCTCTGCTGAGCAGGGAGCCTGATGCGGGGCTCGATCCCAGGACTCTGGGATCGTGATCTGAGCTGAAGGTAGCTGCTTAACTGACTGAGCCACCCAGGCGCCCCGGGAACACCAATTCTTAAGAAAGGAGTCCACAAAGAAGACAGAGAAGAGGACACCAGAGAAGTGGGAGGAAAAACTAGGAGAGAGTGCCATTCAGGATGCCAAAAAATAGGCCATTTTAGGAAGGAGGGTATGGTCAACAGTGTCAAATGTTGCAAAGAGTCTGTTTGATTTAACTACACAAAAATGTTGGCGAACAGTCTCATTGTTGAGGGTTATGGATTAAATGACAAGTATAAAAGTAGAAATATGGGAACCCATACCTTTTTCAGGAAATTTGGCCTTCTAGGAAAAATAAATGGGGCGGTACTAGAAAGGGATGGGAGAGCCGTGTTAGAAAGCCATGGCCTACTGGATTTACAGGAGGCATTATTTTCAGGGACATTCCTATTTAATGACCGAAATAAACAGTGAGTTACTGGGATACAGAACCCGTTGCCTTGCTCCTCTCATGCACAATTACTACTTCCCCAAACTAATTAGACATTCTTCTTGAGAGATCTGTTACAGAACTTGTTGGAGAGTTCCGACAGGAAAAATTGCATAGAGGGAAGGGTAGTCATAACTGTTTGAACTTGTTACTATTTATACTGGGAGAGAAAAGGGTTAACTACACCTCGCCAGAGTCTTGAGGATATGTGGTTATATATCTGCCCACCCTGATCTTGTCCACACGTAATCTGTGGAGAACTTGGACCCTTTCGTCTCTTTCCTCCCACCCAGAGTAGTTGCAGTGTCTGCTACCTGTTCCTAGCCTTCCCACCCCCCAGTCTTCTTCCTCCTGTTTCCCGTCAGACCTCCTTCCAAACAATCTGTCCTATCTGGGCCACAATGTATTTGTTAACCCATTGCCACCCCCAAGGGGGAATGGAGCCCTTCTTTGGTTTATTTTGAGTCCCCCATCCCAATTCTGACCACACACAGAGAACGGTGTTCAGAAAACTATGGTATGGAGCAAAATCCAGCCCACCATCTTTTACGTGACTTGAGAACTAAGAAAAACGGTTACATTTTTAAATGGTTGGAAGAAAAGCAAAAGAAGAATGATGTCATAAAAATGATACGAAATTTACACTTCAGTGTCCATAAGTGAAAAAGAAGGTTAAGAACAAAACTCCAGGGAACACCACCATTTAAAGAGTAACTGAAAGGAAGTGGTCCACGAAGGAGACTGAGAAGGTGATGCCCGGGAAGTGGGAGGAAAAGCAGGGAGGAAACCAGTGTAGCCACGCTCTTTCATTGACATGTTGCCTGTGGCTGTTTTTGGGCCGCAGCTGAGTACACAAGACAGAGATGAGTGGCCCACAAAGCCTAAAGTAGTTAGTATCTGGTCCTTTACAGAAATTTGCCCATCCCTGGTTTAGACTCCAGGTGGCTTGTGTGCTCTATGTCTCCCCCTATAGTCCTGGTGATGTCATAAACTTCCTTTCTGCTTCCCCCAGGGGCCTGAATCTTCCCACCGCAGCAACTGCTGATGGGTTAATCCACAAAGAGTGGGACATTGGGAGAATGTTGTTTTCTGGAGTGTAATACAATGGTTTCCAAACCCTACCCCAGCCTTGGCACTCTGCCTGCCCCCACCACACACAGGCTCGCATGTGTGTTCACACATTAGTGTTTCAGAATATCCAGGAGGTCATGGGGTTGTTTTTTGGGTTTGGCTATTATTGCTGCTGTTATTTATTTTTCAAAAGGCAGTATGGATTTTGAAAGTCTGAGAAATACTGAGGGACCATATCCACATAGATTAATTTCTAAGATTACTTAATTGCCACATTAGATGTTTCTCACTGCCTCTTCCCCCACCCCTTCTGTCCTTCTCTCTTTTTCTTCTCTATTAGACTTCCAGCATACACAGTGACAGTTTCTTCCTCACCTCCCACTTGCTTCTTAGCCCACCACAATCTGGAGTCAACTCCCACTACAACACTGAAACTGCTCTCAATACATTTGTCAACCATTTCATAATTACCAAATCTAAGGACACTTCTATTCCTTCCTTGACTTCTGGGAAGCTCTTTATAATGCCGACCGTGTCCTTCTTTATAGAACACCTCTGCTTCTCTGAATCTGCTTCTTCCTTGTTCTTCTCTTAGCTCTCATAACCATCAGGCTGCCCCTGGTGTCACTAGATTCCTACAAATTAGTCCATGTCCGTGTACTGGTTATTTTCTGGTGTCAGTACCCCGCTCGCCCTCCTATACTGTGTTCTGGACTGCTCGGCCTAGGTGTCTGTAAGGTATGCACTTCCCAGGCTTCCTAGACAGTTGGCTTCCTGTTAGATTCTCTCCGAAGGAGGCATTGGCAGGAGATAAGAAGGCAGAGAAACCGAGATGCTTCCTGCTTTAGTTTCTAACAGAGTGGCAGTTGTTGGTAGATATGGCAGCAGCAAGAATGGGTGATTCTGGACTCCAGCCTCCTAGGTAGAGAAAGCACCTTCTCGGTGATCCAGCCTTGAAGAAGATGGAACCTTTTTAGCAGATCCAGAACCTGCTATGATGGTGTCTGTCCCAGGGCAATAGCAGGTGTAGACAGGGATTCTGTATCAGGGGCAACAGGAGCTTCTGATTTCTAGGTATTCCTCTTTCCTATTTTGCCTCCAGACACATGCTTTTTCTTTTTGCACTTCTTGCCCTTTTAATACTGTTGTAACCAATTTTCTATATTAAATTCCCTCAGTCTGGAAGACCTAGAGTGGTTCTATCTTCCCGACTAGATCCTGGATGATAAGTGGTAAGAGGTTAGGGTTGAACCCATGCAGACTTATGTCCTTGTGTCACTTCCTGCTCCGTCTGCACGGTCTACTTGCAGTCTATCCACCACTTCTGTTTCAACATTTGTGCTGAGGACTCCCAAATTGAGTTTTTTCAGCCCCTACCTGAGATCCATACCCATATACCTCAAGTCTCCTGCGTGGCTCTTCCACTGGCATCTCAGATTCGACATGTACAACACTACTCATTCTCTTCTTCATCAAAACTTCTATGGCATTCTTTTCTATTTCAACGTAGTCCGTTACTGACCATCCATCCAGCCACCCAATCTAGAAATCTTAGTGTTAGCCTTGACCCCTCCACTGGGCTAATCAGTAGCCAAGCCCTTTATTTATTTATTTTTATTTATTTTTTAAGATTTTATTTATTTATTTGTCAGAGAGAGAGAGAGAGAGAGAGCACAAGCAGGGGGAGTGGGAGAGAGAGAAGCAGGCTCCCTGCTGAGCAAGGAGCCCGATGTGGGACTCGATCCCAGGACTCTGGGATCATGACCTGAGCCGAAGGCAGCTGCTTAACCGACTGAGCCACCCAGGCATCCCATTAGTAGCCAAGCCCTTTAGATTCTACCTCCTAATTATCTCAATATTCTATTCCCTCCATCTCCTCTGTTCATGACTTAATTCAGGCTCTTATCATTTCTCACCTAAATTATTGCTATATTGCTAAAAAAGAGTCGTGTGTGGGTGTGTGCAACTTTTTATTTTGATGCAATATACTATAGACTCTGACCAGCAGTTTTAGCTCAGTTTTCCAAGCTCCAGTCCATCCTTTGCAATGTCAGACCAATTTTTCTAAAATTCAAAATAATTGTGTCACTCCTCAGTTTTAATATCTCTAAAAGCCAGACCCTCTTTGTGGTATAACATGGCCTATGTGATCTGGCTCTTGCTTAAATTTCTAGCTCATCTTGACACTCCCCCACACCCCACTACCAAACAGGAACACAATCAGTAGCCTCTACACCATTCACATGCAACCACATAGAGGTCTCCAAGGGAGGGAGCTCTGAATGCCTTTGACCTTCACATATTTGCCTACCCCTTGCCCTAGAATGCTTTTCTCTTCCTTTGTTTTCTGCTGGTCAAATTGTTTTTTTTTTTTTTAAGATTCTTATAAGCCTTGATTATGTTCCACCTCTACTACTTTCAAAACACTTGGCACATTCTTTTTATTTTTTAAAAATATTTTATTTATTTAAGAGAGATTGAGAGAGAGAGAGATCATGAGCAGGGGGGAGGTGTAGAGGGAGAAACAGACTCCTCGCTGAGCAGGGATCTGGACAGGGGACTAGATCCCAGGACTCTGGGATCATGACTGGAGCCAAAGGCAGGCACTTAACCAACTGAGCCACCCAGGCGCCCTGACTTGGCACAGTCTTGTTTGAATACATTACATTGTTGTGTAATGATTTATTCATCCCCCTCCCCCCGCAACTAGACTTTAAGCTCTTTGAAGGGAGGAATACCCTTTATTCATCTTTGTATTTCTAGCTCTGGACCCAATACTAGCACTTACTAAATTTTCCATGTATTTCTGCAGAACGATTTAGAGCTAATGCCTGATGGATACCTTTCAGAGAGAGAAAGAGGAGGGAGGGCTGGAGGGAGGAGGAGGCGGGGTCTGAAGAGCCCTGGGAGTTTGGCGTGGGAAGAGGAGCTTCCCCATTGCCGCGTTCTGCCAGGAGGTTGTGCTGCTTTGAAGAGCCCATTACCTAGGTTACAGGCGGAAGCTGACAGCTTGATACTAAAGAGGGATCCCCAGCAGGAGGCAGACGTCCCTCCATTGTCTTCCCAGCCCAGTTACACACCCGACTCCCGCCCGGTTAAAGAGCCAAGTCTTGAGGAGGTTGCCGGCCCCGCGTCTCTCCCCAGCGACTGATGATGTTAAACCCTACACTTCCGTGATTGGTTTAGCCAAACGATAAGGGCAACTATTGGAAGCAGCGGGCGGAACCTGATCTGGGGAAGCAGTTTGGGGCCCGGGGTCCACTGGCTGGTAGCTCTTAGCCCACAGTGTGGTGTGAAGCTATGGATCATGAGCAGAGGCGGGGAGCTGCACTGCTAAGGCTGTTACACCTCCTGTGGTTGCTGCCCTACTCCCGGACCGCCCCTGAAGGTATGACAGTCCCTCTCGTTTACTCCAATCCTGACCGCTTAGAGCCGGGGGAGCCACTCAGAGCATTTGAAGTCTTCTTTGCATTTGAAGCCCTGTACTTTGTAAGTGGCGCGGGAAGTAGTGGCAACAATAGCAGAATTGGGAAAGAGATCAACTATGGATGGATGGCAAACAATGTCAGAGGTGCTTTATATATTCCACTTAAGACAATCTCTTGAAACAGAGATTATTATATCCATTTTACAGATGGAAAAAAATGAGACTCAGACTCTAAGTAACGTGGTCAAACTCACACAGTTGGAAGGGGGGCAGAGCTGGGATTTGAGCAAAGCAAATATTATTTCACTGTCCTATTTAGTCGTCTGCCCTGCACTCTGTCATCAACTCATCTTGGTGGTTCTTGAAAAGTCTCTTAACTTTATTGGTCCTTAGTTTCCTTCTTTGTAAAGGACAGGGCAGAATGGGAGAATAATCTGGAAGATCCCTCTTCCTCTAAATATCTATTACTCTAGGTATTGAGTACTGGGTAGAAAGTTTCACGCTAGTGTGTGTGGGGGGAGATTCTTGCCAGGAATTTCAAAGAATAGAGATTATTTCCTGCAACTTTGGGTCCCCCAGTCCTGTCATTGCAGGGGCTGGAGGGTTGAGGGAGGTGAAGACGTTTTCAGAGAGGTCTGGTGCTAATGAAGTGGCTGAAGAGAAGCCTGGAGATTGGTTTTTTCAGCTTACTGTGCTGTCTGGGGGTAAGATACACAGTGTCATTTGTGGCTTGGGGAGGCCGTGACCATTCCTTTACCCTCCCTTCTAAGACTGGGGAACCCACCCAAGGCCTTCAACATCAGTACGGTGGCCTTCTGTGGATTAGACGAAGATATCTTTTTTGGGAAGGATGCAGCCCTGTGCCAGGATGCGTGGCTTGGGGAGCAGAGTGCAGGCCCGAGGTTTCAACTTCCAACAATTTCCTTGGCTAGATGCCTTTGTGCAGCACACAAACACGCAACCAACATTGGGACTCCAAATCTGTCACTTTAGACAGTAGACCTTTTTTTACATTTTACAACTTTAGACGGTGGGCCTTTTTATGGGCAGGGGAAGTTTGGAGAGATCCTGTAATATCTTCTTCACCCCCACTGGGAGAGAGAGCCTGAGAGCCTAAGTAACAGACATAAAAAGGGGTTACACCCGAAGCCTACCCCCTCTGCCTGAAGCAGGCCTTGCTGTTTTCTAAGCTAAAGGGGAGGAGGAGAGTCCCCCCTCCCTGACTCACCCTGTCTCCTCTGCAGCTCCTACCCCAGCATGGCGGGATGAACTGCAAAACCACACGTTCCTGCACACGATATACTGCCAGAACTGGAGTCCCAGCATCGGCCTCTCGGAAGCCTATGATGGGGACCAGCTTTTCTCCTTCAACTTTTCCCAGAACACCCGAGTGCCTCGCCTGCCTGAATTTGCTGACTGGGCTCAGAAGCCTGGAGATACTTCCACGATTTTCTTTGACAAAGAGTTCTGCCAAGCTATGGTCCAGAAAATAGGACCCAAACTCGAAGGGCAAATCCCTGTGTCTAGAGGTCAGGGGTGTTTCTGGTGGTGCGGGGAGGGGCTGCATCTTAACCTCCTCAACCTGTGCGCTGAATTATTCCCTTTCACACCAGTCCCCTCATCTAATGCCTTTTGGGTCTCCCCTTACCAGCTATGGTCTACACTCTGTTTTTGTTGTGGGGCAAAGACATGTGCCTAGGACATAGTAGGTGTTCAGAGCTATTTATTGAACTTGATGAATGCAACAGGGACCAATTGTTGCCTACTGAATATTAATTAGAGCTTGTGTTGCTATGCTCAGTGGGATGGAAGGGGAGAAAGGAAGTATCCTAAGATGTGTCTGTGTTTGAATAAGAAGACAGCATGTGATTAGATGCCCGTGTGAAGTCTAGACAGGAAGCCCTGCAGGAAGTCAGGGTGGAGGGTCCCAGAGTAGCCTGGGTTTGGCTCTGCCTCTAGGTCCAGGTCTCATTCTTGCCTGGAGGAAGACCTCCCTTCAAGCCCCAGCTCCTCCCTCATCTCTTCTCCCAAAGCCCGTCCCGACAGACACTGTCTCTGTCCTCTCCTCTGTATGCCACGCCCCTTCCAAACTCAGGGGTACCATCTAAACTAGTTACTTCTTTCCCTCACACCTCAATCCTCCCACCAGGGTTTCCTATTGTTGACGTGTTCACCCTGAAGCCCCTGGAGTTTGGCAAGCCCAACACCCTGGTCTGTTTTGTCAGTAATCTCTTCCCACCCACGTTGACGGTGAACTGGTGGCATCACTTGGACCCTGTGGAAGGAATCGGGCCCACTTTTGTGTCTGCGGTTGATGAACTCAGCTTCCAGGCCTTTTCTTACTTAAACTTCACACCAGCACCCTCTGACCTATTCTCCTGCGTCGTGACTCATGAGATTGACAGCTACACAGCAGTTGCCTATTGGGGTGAGAATTTTCTCCTTGGAAGCCTGCTTCCTTTTGGGGGCAAAAAAGGATGGACCCATGGAAGGGCCTTCTTTTTCTACTTGGACTTTGTTGAAGTCCATTCCCACCCTGAGCAACTTTAATTTTTCATGCTTCTGTTTCTCCTGTTTCATCCCAGACACCCATGTAATTCCCCCAGGTGGGGGGGCTCACCGACCAAGTCTCCAGGCTGATCTGCTCCCCTTTTTCTCCAGTGCCCCATAATGCGCTGCCCTCTGACCTTCTGGAGAATGTGCTGTGTGGTGTGGCCTTTGGCTTGGGTGTGCTGGGCATCATTGTTGGCTTAGTCCTCATCATGTATTTCCGAAAGCCTTGCTCAGGTGGTAAGTCAGAGCGTCTGGAGTGGGTGGGTGAACCATGGGAGCCACATACAGTGGGGCGCGTGGGGGCATGCCCAGGGTCATCCTGCAGTATGGGGAGGCCTTTGGGTGGGAAGGCCTGAGTCAGGCACCATGAACATCCTCCCAGTTGGGGTCCCAGTTACACACACACACAGTTATCAGATCACAGGCATGGCTTTGAGTGGGAGAGGAGTGATATGGGGAGTTGTAGGAGGGGTGCTTGGAGATGACTTGGGGCCAAGGAGAGATCAACTTGTCTAGGATATGCAGCAGGCAGGGAGGGGCCTTTGGGGAGTAGGGGGGTCCCCCGATGGCTTCCCTCCATCCTTCTCCTCCTCAGATTGATTCTTCCCGACCAGAGTCTGGTGCCAGCAGTGTCGATCATGCATGCAGTGGGAGATCAGGTTTCCCACATCCAGCCCAAGATCTCTCCTTCTCCGAGCAGGAGTCCTTGGGACAGCCCGGGGGGTGTGCACGTGCGTGTTTATACAGGTTTCTCAGCTGGGGGCTCTACTGTCCCCGGGCTTGCACCCAGGGGAACCCAGAGTGGCTTTCCTATCACTACCACATTCCTTCCCACTTCAGGGCAATAAATCTTATTTCTTAATATTGCGTGGATTGTCATTTCAAATCCAACATGTAACCTGAATGTGGCTTGCCCTCATTAGGGAGGGAAATGGGGAAACCCCTAGCTCCTCCACTGACTCCTGTTCCCTGCTCTCAGCACCATACGATGGCTTTTACTCCTATCAGTTTGTGCAAAATACTTGAAAAATGAGGGCAGAACTACTTTCTGATAATCTGCTCACAAAATGGTGGAGGAAGCTGATTGCAGATTTTCTTTTTTTTCATTTTACTGGTTGTGAAAATATTTATGGCTAGTAGAGGCTGCCTTGAGAAATATGTAACATTTCATAAGACAAATTCATTTTTTAAAAAGATTTATTTATTTATTTTAGAGAGAGAGGGAGAGAGGGAGAGAGAATGTGCACAGGCTTGAGAGAGCGTAGGGGGAAGGAGCAGAGGAAGAGTCTTAAGCAGATTCCATGCTGAGCGCAGAGCCCCACGTGGGGCTAGATCTCACCATCCTGAGACCATGACCTGAGCGGAAACCCAGAGTCAGCTGCTCAACTGACTGCACCACCCATCCACCCCAAACAAATTTATTTTTATTTTTCTCAGTATTTTTTGATTAGGCAAATGACTTACAAATTTGTTTATTTTTTAAAAATAAATCAGTTTATTTAAACTAAAATAAACACCAAAGTCATTTCATTAATTTCTCCCCTGACCCCTGCAACCACCAATTTGTTCTCCATATCTATGAATTCTTTTTTTTCTATTTTGATTTTTAATTTTTCTTTTAGATTCCACATATAAGAGAGATTGTATGTATCTGTCTTTCTCGTTTGACTTATTTCACTTCACATAATGCCCTTGGAATCCATTCATGTTGCCACAAATGGAAGAGTTTCCTTTTTTTTTTTTGTAATAGCTGAATAACATTTCATTGTTACGTGTGTTATATGTGTCCAGCCATATGGATATGTTACCATCCAGCTACTAATCGGCACTTAGGTTGTTTCCATGCCTTGGCTATTGTAAACAATGCTGAATGAACGTGGGGGTGCATATATCTTTTTGAGTGAGTGTTTTCATTTTCTTTGGATAAATACCCAGGAGTGGAATTGCTGGATCATATGGTAGTTCTATATTTAATTTTTTGAGGAACCTCCATACTGTTACTGACCGCTTGCGCGGTCTGTAGGTAGGACTGTAAATTGGTGCAGCCACTATAGAAAACAGTGTGGAGGGGATGCCTGGGTGGCTCAGTCAGTATCTGCCTTCGGCTCAGGTCATGATCCCAGGGTCCTGGGATCGAGTCCCGCATTGGGCTCCTTGCTCAGTGATAAGCCTGCTTCTCCCTCTGCCTGTCGCTCCCCCTGCTTGTGCTCTCTCTCTCTCCCTCTCGTTCTCTGACAAATAAATAAAATCTTAAAAAAAAAAAACAGTGTGTGGGGCGCCTGGGTGGCTCAAATGGTTAAGCGTCTGCCTTCGGCTCAGGTCGTGATCTCGGGGTCCTGGGATCGAGTCCCGCATCGGGCTCCCTGCTCCTTGGGAGCCTGCTTCTCCCTCTGCCTCTCTCTGTCTCTAATGAATAAATAAATAAAATCTAAAATAAAAATAAAAACAACAACAACAACCAAAACAAAACAAAACAAAACAAAAACAGTGTGGAGGCCCCTTCTTGTATTTATTGCCATCATTTTAGGATAATATATCTTCTCAAAACAGCTTTGAAAGAGTGACCTTAATTTGAAAAGGAAAAAAACCCGAGGACTTAGGTGTAAGGTAATTCTCTTTTTTCTGATGAGTAGTTTTGGGTGGAAAAGCTTTGCCTTATATTTATCTGGCCATATATGATATTTCACTATGCTTTCTTCCATTTGTGTTATTGTTTTCCTTTCACATTTAGATCTTTATTGATTGGAATTTTTCCATATCATGGGAATAAGGATACAACTTTCTTTCCCTCCAAATAGTAAATTGATCTTCTTAATATCATTTACTAAATATTCCATTTATTCCCAGGGATTTTATACCAAGTTTCCCTATATGCATGGATTTGTCTCTGAATTGTTCAGTCCATTGGTTTGTCAGTTCCTATATCAGTATCATATTGTTTTAATTATTATGGCTTTTCATATGTTTTATTATTTGGCAGGGCTGGTTTTCATTTCTTTATCACTCACCTCTCCCAATACCCAAAGTCCCATTTTGCTCTTCTTTATCAAAATTGTCTGATACTCATGGATTTGATTTCTGTGCACATTTTAGAATCACTTTAACAAGTTCTCCCCAAGCCCTGCTATGATTTGGTTAGGACAGCATTTAGGTTAGTGATATGGGGAGAAATTGACTTCTTCGTTGTTAGGATGCCCCATCCATGAATATGTCTCTTCACTTTCTGAGGTGTTCATTTATGTAGTTTAATAAAGTTTTCCCTCTTATTCATAGAGTTCTTATACTTTTTAATGTTAATTTCTAAACATGCTATGGTTTTTATTACTATTATAAATGGCTAGCAATGTTCAATTATTTTCTGATTATTAGGAGCATAGAATTTAGAATCATAAATCCTCAGTTCAAGTCATGGTTCTTTTTTTTTTTTTTAAGATTTTATTTATTTATTTGAGAGAGAGAGAATGAGAGAGAGAGAACACCTGAGAGGGGATAGGGTTAGAGGACGAAGCAGACTCCCTGCCGAGCAGGAAGCCCGATGCGGGACTCGATCCGGGGACTCGATCCAGGGACTCCAGGATCATGACCTGAGCCGAAGGCAGTCGCTTAACCAACTGAGCCACCCAGGCGCCCCAAGTCCTGGTTCTATTACTTAGTGTCTGAGTAAGGCTGGACAGTTGCTAACCTCCCTCTGCCTCCATTTTCTCATAGTTAAGATGGGAATGATAACATCATTCAAGAGTTGTGGTGGCAAATCAGGTAGAATATCCCCTAGCCGTGCAAGTCATTTGGCTGCAGGATGGAAGGATGATGGGCTAGTTACCCCAACTGTAACCCCAAGATTGGGGTCTGGAGAGTGAATCCTGTAGAGAAGAGGGAGTAGGAGGACAGAGGTGAGGTGGGGGTGGGGAGGGATGAGGTTGGACAGACTGGGAAGTAAGGTAATCTGGGCAGGGTGCAGGTGTGTGTAGTTTTGAGGAGACATTGAAGGAAGTCACAAATGTGGTCTCATGCTATGGGTTTTAGATTGCAAGTGATTGATGGGTTGAACAATTTTTGAGTTTATAAAATTGAGGCTTGAGTTGAAACCATCTGTCCAGAAGAGGAACCTGAGAGCTTGCAGGGAGCACCAGAAGGAAGTACCTAGAAGCGATTTATTATTATGGCCGTGCTCTCAGGAAGAGCGTGAGACCACATTTGTGACTTCCTTCAGTGTGTGATGCCAGGGATGCATTGTAGCTCCCTTTTGTTTTAGCCAATCCAGGCTCCTGGTAGACCCCCAACAGCACCTCAGAACATTGCGGAGCTTGCTGTGCTCTATGCCAGGACTGCGATGCCAGGGGCCTTCCTCTCCTGAACACGACTTCAGCCCAGCAGTCGGGGCTCACCTCCAGCAGCCCTCCGGGAGAGGGTTAATCTATAAGATTAACTTAATTATATGATTAAGATTATAATCATATAATCTTTTAAGATTATATGAGATAGCATGGAAATCGCCTACCTAAGAGCATCAGTTCCACCTCCCCGTCCACCCTGTCCATGCCCTCAATGATTTCTCTTTTCTCTTTCTTTTTTCCCCCCTTTTTTTTTCTCTTTTCTCTTTCAAGCACACTGGCCTTATCGCTTACTTGCTTTACCATAAACTCTTCTCTTTACAGATGTCTGTTCTCACTCCCCAGCTGACCTAAAGCGAATGACGTGGGAACAGAGTCCACGTCTCCTTGCTGGGCATTGCCTGTAATGCTCTGCACAGAAACGCCGCGGTTCGTCCACCCGTGGCGCCGTGGACAGCCGAGGGGGAGGCGCGGGAAAGGAGAGGACCCGTTCTCGGGGCTTGGGCAGCGCGGGTAGAAGAAAGAGAGCACGTGGGAACGAGGCTGCCTCACTCCTACGCTCCTGGCGGTCCTGGCACTACCGAAATGGCTGTCCGGTCACAATGGACAGGGCACTTGAAACGGTCTTTTGGGTTGATGCGCGGTGGGGGACAGAACTAGGTCTGAAAATTAGGAGGGAAGGGGAAAGGAAGAAAGCTCTTGGCTGAGCACGGGCCTCTGGGTTTTCTGTCCTGCCTTATTCTAGAAAGCACCCTCAGTCTTCTCCTTAATAGAGAAGTGAAATCTTCTGCATTTCCTGCTGCTGCCTCACGGAAGGTTTCACATCTCCTTTGGCTGCCCGAGCAGAGACCAGACAGGGAACTCCGTGTGGCCTCGGCTGGCTGGCGAGCGCCACCCCCGGCCACCCCCGCGCGGGCACGGGACCTCACCGCCGGCGTTCCTGCGCCCGCCAGCGCGAGCCTTGTAGACGGGGACAAAGATCCGGGCTCCCGCGAGGTCAGGCTCACTGCCCACCTTGGGGGGGTGGGGGGGGGAGGAGGAAGAACGTCAGGGGGAAGTGCGCGTGCGAGTGGGGAAGAGTTCACACGGTTTGGAAACTGTCAAAAGAGAAAGCAAGGAGACGCTGGTTCTAAGAACAGAAGGAATTCTGAGAACAGGGAAACAAAGACTTGGGTGGTCCAGTGGCTTTTCCCTTTATCTGTCTCTCAGTGGGGGGCACCACTGGCTACTTTTATGTGGGTCATCTCAGCCCCAGGATGTAGTGAGTGTGTGGGCTTGCTCGTGTGCGTGCACCAGTGTGTGTCTGTGTGTGAATCTTTGGAGCTGTTTTCAAAACTGTAAAAGGAGGACGCTGGACAGATCTTTTAAGATTATATGAGATAGCATGGAAAGGGCCTACCTAGTATAGTATCAGTTCCAAAGTAGAAGCTCAACAAATTTTGGACTCACCACCCCCATTTTCTGCCCATTCCCGCTCACCTGATGGCTCATTAGAGGAGGTAGGATGTAGAAACATCTTATAATGAAGGCGGGGTTGAGAGCGGGGGTTGCTGGGAAATGCAACTTCAGTTAATCTCAATTAGTTACACGAGTCTTTTGTTTCTGATATTCATCTTTGTATTCATTTTTGGTACATGCTTCTTTTCTCTTCATAAGCATCGACTGTCCTGGGGTTGGGGGCTTTGGGGGAGGACAGATAAGTGTGGCGTCAAGGGGCTCTCTCCTAATCCTCTCTCATTTAGCTCACTACTAAATCAAATCCAAAAGCTTGCAGAAACTAATGCGGGGAGACGCAGCCCTGCAGCCACTGGGGAACAGAGAGAAGCCAATTTCAGGTTTTAAATTTGTGATGGAAAAAGCCACCAATTGTATAGTTCACAGTGGGATAGGAGAATGAATTGCCATTTAAAACCTGCCTTTTCCAGGGGAAGTAAAGGAGGGAAGCTTTATCTTATTTTTTCTAGTGGCTTCATAATGCGGGGACCTGCTCTGGGACAGATAGGACCAGTGGGAGAAACACACAGGAGAGTGTTAAGTTTGGGGGAGGCAGGCGAGCTTTGGGAACTGGCCCATTACCAGCTATTTATCAAGGGTTTAAGTGGCGTTGTCCTGCGGTCTGCCTTGAGATGGCTCAGAGTAGTTGAGGGTAGGATTTCCTAGCTCCAAAAAAGCAGGAAGGACGAAATGCAGCTCTGCAAGAAGCAATGGAATCCCAGGGAGAGATTTTCCAGTCTCTGTCTCTGACCTCTAAAGTGGAACTGCTTCCCTTATTCTGCAGTTGCGCTTTGAGGCCAGATAACCCTGCATTCTCCCTGTGCCTCCTTCCATCTTAACATCCCTGTCTCTGCCACCTGCTCCGGAAGGGCCTTTCAGCTCCCGCCTCCATCTCCCAGGTGACAGGACAGACCAAGGTTATGCAATATCTTTCTAAGTAACCTCTCTCTAAGGGACAGGAGAAGTTACCTAGTCTCAGTCTTGGAAGGATATTGAAGGGAAACAGTTAAACCAGTGGGCAGCCCAGGCTACATATGTTCTGGGAATATTGGGATTATTCTCTCCAGTGATCTAGGGAAATCCACCTACAGACTGGTCTTTCCCACAGGGAAAGAGTTAAGAGACATAGTTGTTTAAAGCCTAGGGCAGGATAAGATTTACCTGGTAACTGATGATGCTGGGCTGAAGCACTCAGTGATTTGTCTCTGTATTTGTCCCCGCCCATCTAACCATCTAAGCAATCTGACAACTGTTAGTTTGGGACTGATTTAGAAGAGCTGGTAGGAACAGGATTAGTATCTAGGGGCTGGGTGGCTCCAAATCACTCATTTAGTGGGGATCAAGGAGCTGGGGCTATACTCTATTCCTCTCAGGGTCTGGACATCATCTACCCAGGCTGGGGCTACAGGAGCAGGCGAGGACCCAGGGCCCCTGGAAGAATTGGTCCAGGGGACTGAATTCCTGGCGGGTCCCTAGAGTGGAGCATGACCACACTCCTGCCGTTGCTGCTGGGCCTCAGCCTGGGCTCCACTGGAGCAGGTAAGGGTTTCTGGCCTGGGACCCTCCCTTCCTCTGCTCCTTTGGGGCAAGGGAGTCACTTGGATCTGGACACCCCAGACTAGTTTGTCTCCCTGGTATATGCTCCAGTAGCACTTTGTACTTTGTATCTTTGTAGCAATTTTAAGATAATTGAACTGTATAATTATTTGTGTAATATATATCTTTTGCCAGGGGCGCCTGGGTGGCTCAGTTGGTTAAGCGGCTGCCTTCGGCTCAGGTCATGATCCTGGAGTCCCGGGATAGAGTCCCGCATCGGGCTCCCTGCTCGGCAGGGAGTCTGCTTCTCCCTCTGACCCTCCCCCTTCTCATGTACTCGCTCTCATTCTCTCTCTCTCAAATAAAAATAAATAAATAAATCTTTTAAAAAATATATATATCTTTTGCCAGAGTGTAGGCAACGGCAATATCTGTCTTGTTTACTGCTGCATCCTGAGCTCCTAGCCCAGTGCCTGGCACGTATGTGTGTGTGCTTCATAAATATATGTGGAGTGAATATTTAATAATATATCCAGCCAACAAAGCTGGCTCTTCCCCTTGACCCCTTTTCTCTCTCAATAATTTGCCTTACTGAAGGTCTTGTCCTGGGTAAATTGTTGTGTTTAAACTAGCAAATAATTCCTGTTCCCATACTTAGTCTCATAAAAAGGAAACAGCATCTAAAAACTTTTCTGCTGCTACCATCTATTCCCTTAATCGGTGCTCTCAGAGACTTGAGTACACGAGCTTGGTCTGTAGATGCTGCCTGAGGCAGGAAAGCTACACCCCACTTGCTGGGTGTAACTGGGGCAGGAACTGGGTCTTGGGCTCCCTGCAGAGGTCTCTGAGCTGCCCCCTTTCTCTGGTTCCTGTAGGTGGCTTTATAGCCCATGTGGAAAGCACCTGTCTGTTGGATGATGATGGGACTCCAAAGGATTTCACATATTGTGTCTCCTTCAACAAGGATTTGCTGACGTGCTGGGATCCAGAGGAGGCCAAAATGGCCCCTTGTGAATTTGGCGCACTGAATGTTTTGGCCAATTACCTCTCAGAATACCTCAACCAACAGGAATCCCTGCTCCAGCGCTTGTCTAATGGGCTTCAGGACTGTGCCACACATACCCAGTCTTTCTGGGGATCACTGACCCACAGGACACGTAAGAAGAGAGGGGCACAAAGGGATTATCGGGAAGCACAGTTAGGAGAGGTGAGGCCAGGGAGAATCCCTCAATCCCTCCATAGGCAAGAGGTTGGAGATTTGGGCGGGAAAGAAGCACAAAATGTGTGGACCTGGATTGTAGAAAGAGTGAGTGTGGACCCTCAAAGGGTTGTTGATGGGGGTGGAACAGGAACAAAGAAGGGGAGGTGATGTTTGAGGCCAATGCGGTAAGAGAGTAAGCAGGCTTTCCATCTATTCAGGGCATCTCAGGATGCAGAGTCAAGTTCAACCAGGAGTGTGTCAGAATAACCAGAATGCCTTTTCCCAAAGTGCTCATGCCTCTTTATCATAGGTTCTGATGTTCTAGGTCTGGGATGGGCCCAGGCATGGGAATATTTAGAAAGCCTCTCAGGGGATTTCAACATGCTTTCTTGCCCCAAAGCCCTTGCACTGAGAATGACTTGAGATTGGTGAAAGAAAACATGGAGATCTCCATAAGACAGAGTAATATGTCTTAAGACGTTATTTCTGAACCATTTTTCTTAGAATTGCCTGGGGAAGGTGCTTGTAAAAAATACAAGCCCTTGATTGCCACTACAGATCCTCTCAGTGAAAATATTTGGGGATGCAACCTAGGGAACCCGCATTTTAACACAATTTCTTGGATTTTTATTTAAGATTTTGTTTGAAAAGCACCAAGGTGGAGGTAAGTAAGAGGGTCACCTAGGAGAATAAGCTAATAGAGAAGAGCAATATTAACAATCTCATTATTTCGGATTATGTTAATCCAAATTTAAGAGAGTTAGATCTGAGTTAGGCTCGTTTCCTTAAACTATCCAAGGGAAAAATGTTGCTTGATTCAGCCACTTAGTTTGTTAAATTAGATTTGAGGGCAGACATCTTTTCCTACCTTTACAAACCCCAACCTACAACTCTTGACAACTGTTAGCTTATATACTTGAAATAAATACAGGGACTTCTGAAACAGCTTGCAGTTCAGACCTGGCTTCTACTTAATGTGATCAACCGTAATTTTGGACCAGGAAAGAAGGGAAAGGGCAGTGAAGGAATGGGAGGAAATAAAGAGCAAAGCAGGAGTAAGTCTAACTCCTCTTTTTCAAAGGGATGTATGGAGGCACGGAGTGGGGGTGGGGGAGGCCACGAAGAGTTGAAGCTGGAAAGAAACGAGGTTGGAGAAAAAACCAGAATGGTGCCATCTTTCATGACCACGTTTTCCTCTTATGCAGGGCCACCAACTGTGCAAGTAGCCAAAACCACTCCTTTTAACACGAAGGAGCGTGTGATGCTGGCCTGCTATGTGTGGGGCTTCTATCCAGCTGATGTGACCATCTCGTGGAGGAAGAATGGGCAGCCTATCCCTTCTCACAGTAGTGCCCCTAAGATGGCCCAGCCCAATGGAGACTGGACATATCAGACCGTCTCCCATTTAGCTACAACCCCCTCTTATGGGGACACCTACACTTGTGTGGTGGAGCACATTGGGGCTCCTGAGCCCGTCTCTGAGGACTGGAGTAAGTGCACGGCGGGTGGGAGGAATTAGGGTTGAAGCAGAGAGCTACTGCGAGTGGGTGGTTGAAAAGGAACACCAACGTCTTGGCACAGGGAGTGACATGTGGACAGGTCCACGGAATATGGCAGGGAGGAAGATGCTGAGAATGAGCAGCCAGCCTGGAGGAACTGGTGGAGAGTTGATGACCAGAGATGGGGCAGTGGGTGGTTGATGTTGTGTGTCTGAGAGTGGCAGGGGAGCAGAATGGCTATCCTGAAAAGAGGATGTGGTTTGGTGACCATGTTTTCACAACCAAAATTTGTGATGCAACATTTTAGGATCCTCAGATTTCAACTATTCTGTTGTCTGGTCAGGAATGGGAATTGAAGGAATAAAAAAGGTTTCAGAAGAAACGGAACTTTCTTTTGGTGTGGGGGCAGTACTAAATTTGGGCCGCTCTGTCAGGGAAGAAAAAGCCTGGCTGACAAACACTTTGGTTTACATGCTTGGGGGCTAATGAACAAGGAACCAATTACCACTGTTTGAACCCCAGGATTGGAAGTAGTTAAATGTACCAAGAGATTTGGTACACAGATTTGGGGAAAGAGAAGAGGGAACAATGAGGAAGAGGAGGGGAATCTATGAAGGGCTAGGCAACAGAATCCTAGACTGGCTGCTGAGACTGGGCTCCCCCTTTGGGGAGTGCTGTCTTGCTGGGCAGCGGAGAAAGGCATGAAGAGCAGAGAGAGGAACCCACAGGTGCACCGGAACTCTCCTGGGAAAGTCTCCTCCCCAGTATGCACCAGAGCTTCCTTTGGTGATGGAATGTTCATTTTAGCATGGGGGAAGGAGTCCAGGTGCGGTGGGATTCAGAGTACAGTGGGTTCCAGGAAGTGGGAGCTATGGAGTGGGATGGAGACAGGTTCTGGAAATCTGGATGTAGACAGGAGGAGATACCTCAGTAGTCAGACAACGCGTGGAATGGGATCATTGAGAGTTAAGAAAGGTGGAATGACATTTTAATAGACAAATAGGTAGAGCACATAAGGGAGCAAACATTGTCACTATGGGGTAAATGGAGAGGGGAATGAGGAATCCTTTATTCTTTGGTGAGGGAAACTTCAGGGTGAAGGAAGGAAAAAAGATGCCTTGAGAGCCCCCACTGTATTAGAGAGGACCTAGAAGCTAGGGTGCTAACTCTCGTGAGGGGGTCCCCCAGGGCTACTCTAGGAGTACAGAGCTACGGAATGGGGATTTTTGAGGAAAGTCTGTCTCCTTGGGTGTAGGTTGGTGTGCGCTTGGCACTTTTGAACCTACTAGGTGGAGGTCACACTAAATTATGTTGCTCTGGCAATGAGCGACAGATCGGTTCTAGTAAGTTTCTATTTTTGCAGCACATGGGCTGTCCCCGATGCAGACAGTGAAGGTTTCTGTGTCTGCAGTGACTCTGGGCCTGGGCTTCATCATTTTCACTCTTGGTTTGCTCAGCTGGCGGAGAGCTGGCTCGTCTGGTGAGTGCCGCCCCTGACCTCCTGTTGCCAATCTCACTCCCAATTTCTGTTCACTTTTTATTCGTGACTTGTTTTCCCATTGCTACCTCATTTGCTGTAACACCAGATACTTTTATCTATAGACTGTCCTCTAATCAGATATTTTCTTCTCCTAGGCTACATTTTCCTCCCTGGGGCCAGTTATCCAGAAGGTAACATCTCTGTTGGTCTGTTTGCCTACTGGTCCTTTGGAGGGGTGAGAGATCTCGGGAGTCAGTGTTGGGCTCAGCTAATGGTGCTTATAGTGGGGGTGACGTTCCACCAGGATGTAGCCAAGAGCATAATTTAAACTGCCATTGTTGGGATTAGGAGCAGGAAGGAGGAGCACCTACACACCCTTCTTCTATCCAATGGAGCATCTATGGGGAGACGACTGAAAGTGGCTTTGTAGTATTAGTCCTTGGTGGTCTAGAATTTTTGATATCACTGTATTAAGGGCTCTGGCATGGATGGTTATAGAAACAGAGGATGGGGTCAAGTTGGTTTGAAGCCTTATTATTTCCTTTTTATTTCTTCTGCAGGTCAACACGTCAATTAGAGGCAGAGTCCTACACCTTCTACCCCAAGTGTGAAGATTCAAACTCTTAGTGATGCTGCTGTGTCCCCCCACCATCCTCAGACCCTACAAATTTTCTTGGATCCTATGGTTTCTCCATTCAGATCTTTGAACTTCCCAGCCGACCCCATGTACACCTTAGCAAGTTGGGGGAACTCATTCCTGGGAATATTCTGTAATCAAGTTGTCATCCATCCAAATAAAGAGGCTATATTTCTGGGTCAAATATCATCTGGGGAGGGAGGTTAAAGGCCTTTCTGGAGGCCACACTGTGCCACAGGGGCCATTGAGTCGCTGGCGGTCATCTCTGAGGAATAAACTCTGGTTGAAATAGTTTTTCTATGCTTTTTCCTGAGGCCCTGGGGAGGGACCATGAGCAGAGTTATGGTTGGGGTTACTTCTCTCCTACTTGAGTGGAGGAGTCAGTACTTCCTCCTGATTATTCCCTCTAGACATGACAGAACTGGGGGCAGTTTTCTGATCTATAATTCCTAAGAAGAAATTAAGCTATGGTTGAATGGAGTCACAGAATCAGGGAGAGGCAGGGAATTGACAGATTACTTACTTCATAAGGGGTCTTAGGAGGATTGAGTGAGTTCATACTTGCAGATGGGTAAGAACATTGCTGGCACATGCTGAGCCCATAAGAGAGATGTTAGTTATTACTTGTTACTCAACTTTCTGGGCCAGGCATTGGACCAGGTACTTTGCATGCATTATTTTGTTGATCCTCATCACAACCCTGATGCAGATCCTCAGATAGGACTCAGGGGGGCAGAACTTAACTTCAGATGGGAGTTCTGCACAGTTACTTCTTCCAAACCCTAAGTGGGGAAGAGCTCAAGTGCTTATTATGACCTAGGTGCTGGGCTAAGTGCTTTGTATTTGTATCTCTTTTACTTCTTACAATAATCCCAGGAGGAAAAGATTGTCTCCTTTCATGTCACGGGTGAAGAAAGCAAGGTTCGGAGTGTGAATGACTTGTCCAAGATCAAAGAACAAATTTTCTATAGGATGTTTGTCTACCTTAGCTGGAAGTAAGTAGATGGCTTTATCCAGAGGATCCTCATGCTGGGGAGCACACCACCCTTCAGAGCCACGCTTTCATTCCCTTTTACCCCCAACCCAAGGGCCATCCACTGTTGGGGTACAGATTTCTCACTGTAGAAGGGAGGTGTATTTTGTTTCCGGTGAGGGGCGACACCTGCTGGACACAGAAAACTGGGCAATGGCATAGTTTTTGGAATTAGAGTTGGACACTAGACTTTGGGCAAGGAAAAGAAACCAGAAGTGAAGACAAGTATTGAAGCAGCTTAGCCTAAGAGGATGTTGTGGAGGGAGAACAAGGGGCTATGGATGCATATTTGCATGTGTGTGTCTATATGGGAATCCGTAAGATCAGAATCTGATGAGCTGGAGGAAGAGGCAGAAGACAGACTGCAGAACCTTCTTGTGTGCTGCTTTCCATGAATGTGTGTGTTTCCGTGTGGGTGTGAGGGGTGGTCATGGGGGCTAGAACCCTTCATCCTTGGACTGTTTCTGTGCTGATGGGGGACTACAGAGGAATGGCAGAAGCACTGGTCTTATGGGCTTGATGTCCAAAGTAGGTGCTCAGGGTTTGTCCAACCAGTGAATCGATCTCTTCCACATCCATGGTTTCCCCAGAAGGATCCTTGTGATCAGAGCATTTGTTCTGGAAGGAGTTTCCTGGAGAAGTCAATGGGAGGGGAAAGTGCTCATGAATTTAAAACGGTTATTCTCTGAGCAAGGCCATATAAGGTCGGAAGAGGGAAAGTGCTGTGTGCTGTGCTAATTGGCAAATGTAGGCTCAGAAATTAATGTCTAGAGGTTTTATCAGTTTTATATTTATTTTTTTGCATTTATATATAGCATTTAATGAATAAGCTTGTGTATCATGTAAATAATCTTCCACCTCTGCCTGACTTAATTTAAAAACTTGCTGTTTAAAGTCTTAATGTTGTTTCATTTTCGTTTTTCCATTCATGGTTTTTGTTTTTGTTTGGTTGACAAAGCAAATTCCTTTTGAAGTGCTAGTCTGGTCTGGGGGTAGGGCTTTGGGTGGTGTCTCTGATTTTGAGGAAGCTGCACATCCAAAGGGTCTGGGTCTGGTCACAGCAGTGGGAATCAAAGTGACAAGACCCCCAGGGGAAGGAAGGAGAGAGTCAGCTAATTGGATAGCTTCCAGTCCTCCTCTGGAGATTCTTGGCAGGCTTCTCTCTGCCCTAACTTTGTGTGTTTTTGTTTTATAGGGAAGGCTGTCCCTTTCCAGATAAGGAGTAAGAAAAAGTGCCACGTAGGTCTCCTGGGATCCAGGAAACCAGATGAGGGAGAAAAGGGAGGAACTACATGTCCTTACATGGGGTGATGAGATGTGCTTGGATGAAAAGAAGTGGGGTAATGGTGGGCCAGCTCCAGGACTGTGTGAGGAGAGTAGAATGTTAAACATAATCAAAGGCCAAAAAGGTGTGTGTGTGGGGGGGGGTGGGGGGTGGGGGGGGGGGGAGAGAGGCAGTTAGGCTTTTGGGTTATATCTAATCCAGTTGGTACAACACATGGTCTCTCCTTTCAATGTTTTGCTCATTTTAAAAGCTGAACTTGGAGCTGGAATCGACTTTAAAGGTCATCTAGTCCAACTGTCCACCCATAAAAGGGCTGGGTCTGTGTTCACGAGGACATGCAGAATGCAGGGAGTCCCTTCGATCCTTGGGGCAGATACCAATACTTTAGAGAACTGTGTTGACCTCAAGTTTGAGGCTCTTCTTTTGATATGATTTCAATTATGTATGGGGTCTAAAAAAACCCCCAACAAATGAATAAACAAACAAAAAGCTGAATCAGACCTATAAACACAAGAGAACAAACTTATGGTTGCCAGAGGGAAGGGGGTGGAGGCTTGGGCAACATGGGTGAAGGGGAGTGGGAGACACAGGCTTCCAGTTATGGAATGAATGAGTCACAGGAATAAAAGGCACAGCGTGAGGCATATAGTCAGTGATATGGTAATAGTGTTGTGTGGTGACAGATGGGAGCTACGCATGTGGTGAGCACAGCATAAAGTAGAGAGAAGTTGAATCACTAGGTTGTACACCTGAAACTAATGTACCACTGTGTGTTAACTATACTCAGATTAAAAAAAAAAAAAAAAAGACAATGGGAATAAAACTCAAATACACCATGGGAGGGTGTATCCTCAGTGCTTTTTTTCCTGAGTGACAACATGCTCCTGTGTTCCAGCTTCTCTTTGTTTCCTTACTCATGTACACAGTCATGTGAAAAGACCAGAAAAAGCTTGGTATTTAATCTCCATGTTTATTTAGGAAAATTACTTTTGCCAGGCCAGTCCCCAGGGGCTGCAGAGAGTGGAAAGACCCCAAACCCAAAAAGATTGCTCCCCGAGGCGGGAGGACTCACCTGCTCTCCTGACCCTTCCTCTCCCACGTTTCCACTACAAATGAGTTTCCAAGAGCCTTTGGCCAGACTGGCCAGAGGCAGGGCATGAAGAAAGAAATGACTTTCATTGTCCCAGGGCCTCAACAGAAAACAGATGACACACTCAAAATAGGATAGTTCAAGGGGAGTCTATTTACAAGGAAGTATTTCCAAAGAAGTAGGTGGGGGATAGCACCGTGTAACCTGGGAGTAGCAGCAGCTGACCTGTGACTACCCCAAGGTCCCAAGAGGCAAGGGACTGGAGGGGTTATCAGAATTCAGAAGGAGCCAGTCCTACAGTGTCACTAGCTTGCCCACAACAGTGCCCTTCAGTCAAGGGACACAGCCAGTCTAAAGTGACCTTGCGAGGGAACCAAAGGAGTAAAGACCCTGACCTCGAGCTCCGCCTCCCTCTATTCTCAGAGCAAGGCTGAAAGCAAGGGCAAGCCAAGGAGCTCGGGACCCTGTGATGTCCTACAGGCCAGCACTTGGGACAAAACCCAGGGTGGAGAAATGTGGATCTAGAAGGACAGATGTAGGACAGTTGGTGCATTCATAACACGAAAGAAAGAAACCAAAGTCGGGGCAGTGGGGGTGGTGGTGGGGGTGTAAAGATACAAAACTTGGGCTTCCTTTGGCCTCGGGCGGGGACAAGACCTCAGTAATAACAGAAGACTGTCATTTCCTGCTCAGGGACCTGAGAGAATACTCCTTTCTGGTCTCCCCTGCCCTAGCCCAAGGCTTATGTAACTCTTTGTGGATCTTTATTTTTTCCAGACATATTGTACTGTAAGTTTTTTGAGTTCCTCAGAATTAAAGCTGAAGCTTGCCTGAGGTTATACTGCGCTTATTGAGCAGTTTGGGGATAACTGACTTCTTTTTATTATTAAGTCATCCCATGCAAAAAACGGAGGGTATTTCCCCATCTATTCGAATCATCTTCTTTGCTCTTTATTATGCTTTTTAAAATTCACTTTTTCATCGTGGTCCTGTGCATGCTCAGTTAATTCTTTGATATTTTACAGACTTTGTTGTCATTATGATTCATTATCTTATTGTAATTTTATTTTCAAATCAGTTATTTCTGGTGTAGAGAAGTGTAACCAATATTAAACAAGTGGAGTAAAAAAAGAACAACATTTACCATTTTAACCATTTGGAAGTGTATATTTCAGTAGCATTAAGAACCTTCACAGTGCTGTGCAGCAAATCTCCAAAACTGTCTCATTATGCAAAACTGAATTTCAGTACCCATTAAACAACAACTCCCTATTTCCCTTTCTCCTCAGCCCTGGTCACCACCATATTACTTTCTGTTTCTATGAATTTGACTACGTTAGTTACTTGATGTAAGTGCAATCATACAGTATTTGACGTGAATAGGATTTCTCTAAATGTGATATGCAAATGGCTGACGAGCATATAAAAAGATGTTCAACATCACTAATCATTAGAGAAATGCAAATCAAAACCACAATGAAATATCACTTCACACCCATTAGGATGGCTAATATCAAGAAAAAAAAAGCAGGTACTTGAACAGATATTTGCACACCCATGTTCACAGAAGCATTATTCACAAAAGCCAAGAATGCATAAACAAGATGTGGGATATCCATACAATGGAATAGTATTTGGCCTTAAAAAGGGAAGGAAATCCTGATCCATGCTACAACATGGATGAACTCTAAGGACATTATGCTAAGTGAAATAAGGCAGTCAAAATGACAAATACTGTATTCTACCATATTAAATCCCTAAAACTCTTAATTAGTTTTCTTTTTCATAGCATTGACCAGGACCTCTAGGGCTATACTAGATAGTAGCAGTGACAATGAGCATTATTGTTAAAGGAAATGCAACCAAATGTTCTCCATTAATTA